TGTCAGCAGACAGGATACTGGGCTGGATGGACCATTGGTCTGCATTCTTATGTTCTTATTTCAAATAATGAACCTGATACACCCAGACAGCTTTTTTTTTTTTTTTTAAGGAGTTCATATTAGATGGTCATGAACAAATTTCTTAATGTAGGGTAAATAAGCAATTTAAATCTCATTTGTACACGTGACGTGACTTTAGTGTTTTTGTTATTTGCTACATTTTTCTGACTCAAAAGCTAGCTAAAACATTATTTGCTACTGGATTCCTTTTTTTCCCCAGTAATATTTATTATGAAACATTTACGGAGCAAAATAAAGTTACAAAGAGCTTTGCAAAATATCTACCAGACTTTTCTTACCTCAATGAGTTTATAGACTAGAAAAATTACTCACTTTTTATTTTAAATTGTAAAGTTTGACAAATTTATTCCACTGGGAAAATGGGTAAAAATGTCAATGAGACAGATGGTAACAGCATCCCATGTGGGTCACTGAAATAAATATCTTCTGCATGGCAATTTGCACTGACTACCTAATGTCAGTATGGTAAGTTTCCCCACAAGCATGACTGTCAGAAGACTAAACGTAAAATAGCAAATCAGAAAAGTCTTCCTTCAAAAAGTTTCACTAACCAGTTATTAGACAGATCCAAGCCAAAACCCAGGATCTGAACATCCCCAAACTAGGCCTACGTTCAGTTCCAGGCCTGATCTAATACTTCATTACTTGCAAAAATAAAATCTGGATAGCTATCTATTGTGATGGGATCAAGCTAGATGGTTACAGGAAAGTAACAGAAAGCAGGTATATCAGACTCAGGTTAAACAAGTTCTTGTTTCTTTGATAACCACACAAAGTCTTGACAAGGTTAATTAAGACACCTAGAATCAATCAAGAACCTACTAGTACCAGCTGAAACAGTTTGGCTCCAGATGTCCCAGTCAAACCTATCAAAGGCCGCCTAGGTTAAAAGCCTCCCCCCTTTAGTCAGTTTAGTGACAAACCAGAAGTGGTGGGAGTAGTATGCACTGAAGAAGAGCAGGAACTGTAGCGATACTATCAAGTTCCAGGAAGGAGCTCTGCAAGAACAGAGGTAAGGGGCAGGGAAGAGACCTGCCCAGGGGCCAGCCCCTTGGAGCCCCAGAAGTCAGAAGGAGATAAACCCCTGCTAGAGAAGGAAAGAACAGAATTTAAACATCTGGTCTGTTGGCTCCCAGAGACTAAGATTTTTTTTTCTTCTTTCTTCCCACTGCTATACCAAAAATGAGTGGCTCAATCAGACTATGGCTTGTCCCTGAAACGAAGAGGTTAGACTGAGAACTGCAGAGTGCCACTAATGTGAGCAACAGGACCAGGAGTTGCTATTTTCCTGAGATGGGGAGACAGAATACTCTATCACTAACGAGAAGCGCAGGACCCATTCTGTGAAATTAGGAGTGTCCACATCCTATACAGAATATATATAAGCAAATGACAAGAAGATTATGTCAAACAAGTCATTTGAACATCTTCATAGGTCTCTCTTTCTCTAAGCCTGTTATTAAAAAGTACACATGGAAGAAAGTAACCTAGTAATCAGAGCTGTGGAATCAGGATTCCTTTACTTTTCTCCAAGCTCTGATATTACACAGGTCTGTTGCAATGTTTAGATCACTCCAAAATCTTTGTATGACGGGTACTATATAAATGCCAGGACTGCTGTGTTTGGATTCTCTCCTTGAGTATTCACTGTAGGAATGTCAATGTGTAGTCGACTACGTGATTAACCAATAAACGTATCTTGGTGACTACCCACACTCTCCCGCCCTCCCCCATGCCTCTGTATCGGAGGCAGGGGGGGAGGAGGGAGCTGGAGCTGGCTTTAGGCAGGCTCCGCGCGAGCACTGGATCCAACTGCCCCCTCCACTCCCATGCTGCTGCCTTCTCTATCAGAGGCAGCAGTGCAGAGGATGATGGGAGCAGGCTGGAGCAGATATGTGTGCGGAGCCTACTTTCAAGCTCCTCCGACTCCCTGCTTCCCCCTTTGCTGCCTCCTACAGAGGCAGCGAAGCGGGGGGAAGGAGCAGGCAGGAGCCAGTGCTAGGGGCCGGCTTAGAGAGGCAGCAGCACGAGGGTGCTGGCTTAGCCTTTATCAGATGCAGCAGCACAGGAGGATGGGGGCAGGGAGGCAGCCTCTGTCTGCAGTGGTCCATGGAAGCAATGCCTGTCCATGGGGGGGTCCGAACTCCCCGCGGACAGAAGCTGCTCTGGCATCCCACAAAGCAGCCTCTGACCATGGTCAGTAGGGCTCACTGCAGACAGAGGCTAATCCTTAGCAGCAGCCCCTGTCTGTGGGTGGTCCGAGCTACCCGCAGACAAGTCTGCTGCCATGGTCCGGCCTTTGTCCATGGGGAGCTTGGACCACTGCGGACGGGGTTGAGGCCACCCCGCACTGCTGCCCTGGGGTGGCGCAGGGTGGCAGGCAGACGGTGTATGTGGGGAACTGGTTTTTAAACTGGACCCCTTTGCGGACCAGTTCCCACCTGCCACCCTGTGCTGCTGCCTCTGATACAGGGAGTGGGACCAGGAGCACACTGGCTGCCAGCCCCACCCTTGGGGACCATTGAATAGTCATGTAACTGCCAAGATTTCATGCAGTTACACAACTAATCAATTACACATTATCTAACATCCCTAACTCATTGTACACTCAAGTTACAAAAAGCCAGCACTAAAGCTGCCTGTCACATTAGTTCTGCCCCCTTGTGTACATGTATGATGATTACACCTGCAGATTTATCATGAAACTTTTTTTAAAACATCAGAATTGTTATAGTTCATTTAGGACAAGTCACAGGTTCAGCGATTGCACCACAATTTCTGATTCAAAAATGCCTTGACAAAAGAAATTCAACTATCCTGATTCAAAATTAGTGTTCCAGGGTCTTTCTTGTCCTCCATTGCCTCTTTACCCCACCAAAAAGCACAGAGCAGTTACAGCAGCTCCCTCTACTCTGGCACTGCAATGCTAATCCTGAGAATAGGAAAGCCTGCCCTACACTCACTTTAGGCACTGGCAGGGCTGAGCTTATCTTGCCATGCCAGACTTTAGGATCTGGCACTTAGGGTGTGTCTAAACTACCTAGTTTTGTCGACAAAAATGGACTTTTTTCGACAAAACTATACCAGCGTCTACACTACCGCTGAGTTCTGTCGAAATAACGTCGACAGAACTCAGCAGTTTTGTCGACGCTGGTAAACCTCATTTTACGAGGCATAACACCTTCTGTCGACAGAAGGTGTTATTGCCTGTAACGTTGCGTCCAGACTACGGAGTTCAGTCGACAAAGCAGCTGGCTTTGTCGACAGAACTCAATGTGTCTGGACGCTCTTTGTCGACGGAAGTTTTGTCGACAGTATCTGTCGACAAAACTTCCGTCGACAAAACGCGGTAATCTAGACGTACCCTTAGGGTCACAACACTGCTCAGGTTTGGTCCTTCTGGCCCTCACTCATGATGGAGAGGCAGCTATGTAAAATCTGAGTGAACAGCGTTGCAACCCTGTGCAACACGTTGCAATACTATACACTCAGATTTAGCTCAGCCATCCCTGCTCCACTCATGACAGAGGAGCAGCAAAGCCAAATATGAGTGGTACTGCAACCTCATGTGCCAGGCAACAACATGCAGACCCACAGGATAGGAACTGCCACTGAAGAGTGAGTGCAGCCAGACTTGCTCTCCTACATCTCTCCTCCCCTCAGACCAGGCCAGCAGGATGACCCACCAAGAACCTTTCCACAAGGTAGTCATAGACAAACAGAAGCCACGGTATCCAATAATCTTTCCACCATTATGATAAGTCTGTAGTCTCAGGGGGACGGAGGGGGTGGATGTCACACCCACTTTGATAGCAGAGGAGTCTTTCGTTCCATTCCAGGCTCTGAAAAATAGTGTGCTCCAGTGGACACAGATTCTTCTGCCTGTTGCTCCTTCTGTCCCATCCCCTCAATATGCCTCTCACACACACCTGGCTCTCAGTCCCATTCTCCTTACCTACCACTGTCCCAGTCTGCACTTCTTAGATTTGCCACCCTACCACCTCATCTCCCAGTTAGTTCCAAATATTTAAATTCCCAGTCTGTCTTCCTCTACCACCACCAGGCTCCATACCCCAATCAACTCCTTACCCTCACCCCCAATTTTCCTCTTATCCCCATGGCATTTCAATTAAAAACCTTTTCCTCCATACGGCCTGGGAACCAGCAACAGCACTGAAAGCACAGCCTAGACAGCTTCCCTGCTCTAAATTCCACAGTCTGGTCCAATCCCAGTTCAGAGCAGTAATTATAGGGCAAGTCCTGAGCACCCACAACCTTAGACTAGAGCATGCTCAACTGCTATGTGAGGGTGGCACATGTGAAGTTTGATCAGACCTAGGAGGTCTAGGGATTGGAACATGCCCAGTGTGAATGGAATATTCTGAGATTTTGGCTACTGAATTCCACACAGTCTTCACCAAGCATGTGTGAATTTTTTTTTCAAATACATAAGACAAATTTGGGCAGATTTGCACACGGGGACAGCAAAAAGGCACATCTGACACAAAAGCTAACCCTGGCCAAGTATGAGGGCACTAGAGTTCTCACAGAAAAGGACACCAGAATATAATTTTAACAGACAAAACATTTTCCCTTAGTCTTATTCTTAAGAACAGTAGTATTGTTTCAACTGAAAATGTAATAATTCAGCCTAAGAAAGATACCCAGCAGCATTGAAAATTTCAGCCCAAATGGTTAAAGTTAAGCAAATTTATAAGCAAAGGAAAACAGGGTCTTGCAACATGAAGTATTGAGCAACCTTAATAAATAGGCAGTGCTTCTAGCTTGCCTACATTATTGACCTATTAGTTGAATTCCTCTTTCATAAGATTTTAAACACTTTGTCTAGACTGGACATTTCTTTGACATAGATAATAACCCTATCATCTGCTTTCAGATTAAAGCATCAGTTTACTTACAAAACTTGTCTCTACAGCAGTTATCACACATTTTGTTGCAATCTGCAGAATCCCACATTTCATCAAAATGCTGAGCAATCAATACACGGCGACACCTGAGTACAGAAATATATTTATAGATGAGAAGAATTAAGGGAGATTGTAAAATACAGATGCACACACATTACATTAAATGAATGTACAGAGAAAGCCACTGATCCTACCTTCTCTCAAAAAAGAATAAAGGAGTCACTCAAGAAGTACATAACTGATGGAAGGAAATACTGTTTTACACAACATATGAATGTTATTTACTACTATGACTATTGTTGATTGAACAGCTTAAAAAGGATTAGTTACATGAAAATGAAGACCATCTGCAATTTCAGTGAGAAGGATGATGATGACAAGAACTACTGATTCTAATCCTTCAGAATATCGTTTGACAAAGGAAAGCTTTGGCCTAATCTAACCAATCTCCTGCTACATTTCCTAAACTGGCTAACAACGCTGCCGAGGACAGATGTTTTACCTTATTCTGAAGCATATCTGATTAAATAGACAATTCTGTATTAATTTATCTAAAGCAAAAAAAAAAAAAAAAAAAAAGCAAAATGTTCCAATACACACAGATTGAAAGGGGTTGTGTTACTACTGCAACACAACTACTACTACTTCTTTGTGTATCTTTTAAATAGTGAGACACAGAGAGACGTAAATTAACACTCATCTGTTTCAAATGGAAAATTACATTTTATATGAGCTTCGGATATACAAATCCTGTCTCATAGAATGTTCTTTACTAAATTATCTACGAATATGGAAGAAAAAATTCAAAAGTTATTAAAAAAATAAAGAATCAGGAAGCCAGAGTTACTTACTTGTTCATGTTGTGGCAATAGGATACCATATCATAGAGTTTCTGTTGCCCTACATTCTCCATCACTACCATGGTGCTGATTCTAAATATGTCTCCAAACCCATAAAATAAAATGCAATCCGCTTTCTGGTCATCTCGACCTACAATAAATTTGAAACACCTTTTAGACTTTTCAGAAGTTAGGAAGAAAGTTTTATGAACGTGCCACTGTGACACAAGAACTAATTAATGGCAACCGGCAAGGAGATGCAGAGGATTTACAGGAACCTCTGAATTCTCTACATACATTCTGGGTCAAAGAACATACAGTGAGATCGCTGCTCATCATTACCGTTGTGAAATGAACCCAAATACCATGTAAGGAGTATACATGTATAAATGCCTTACAAAGTATCGGCATTCATTTCATAATAGTAATGATGAGCAGCATGACAATGGCTTTCACATACAGGCTTTTAAGAGCATATTTTTCAGTATCAAGGAATTAGTCTCCAGCAAAGCTAAAAAACAGACTGGAGACTTGTACATAAACTATTACTCCAGTCACAGTAGAGCTCCTTTCAACAGTCTGAACTGAATGAAAATGATGGACTGTAAAATGAATTAACAGGAAGAGAGAAAGCAGGGAAAGAAAACATTTTTTGAAGGGCATATCAAAGTTTTGCTTGAGGGGAGAAAAAGGAAATGCCCAGTCACCCTCCACTGATGGAGTAAAATAAGCATTTTACTTCATGAAAAAGGGGCTTCAACTAGGCTTGACTGAAAATGCAGAAGGAAACTTGCATGAGAAACGTCTTTAAACAGAACATCAATCTGTTCATTTAGAAAGTTTGTTACATTTTATATTTAATAAATAATAAGTTTATCTGTTATCAAAGTGTTACATTTATAGTGAAAACAATAATAAGTTTATCTGTTATCAAAGTGTGGAGATTCAGGTTATGGTGAGTAAGAATATTGAAAATGATTAAATATAAAATGTAAGTGCTACAGTATTAAGCAAAGTGTTGTACCTAAACTGAATCTTATAAACTGGTGTATACTGTTCCCTAGGGACAGGCAGGACCACTAATTCTATAAGGAGCTAGAGACAGCAGAGAACGCTCTGAGCATACAGGGATTGGAGTGCATGTACCCATTGCTATTAATACAGAGAGACTGAGGTCTGCAGAGACCAGGAAGGCAGTGCTTGTGCTTCCAGAGGCTGTTACTATCAGGGAGTTGATCCGCAGCAGGCAGAGACAAGCCTACTCCACATTAAGTGCAGGTAGTAGTGAGGTGCTTCAGAGGGTGTCAAAGCAAGCATATAGAGAATATAAAATGGGACAGATTCTGTCCCTATTTATTTGTGTGTGTACGTGTGCAATCCAACAAACTTCCAAAAGGTTTCAAATCTATATGGACAGAGAATCTGGTATGCCCCATCTACTGAGAGAACTTTAAGAATTTAATACCACACAAAGCTTAGGAACAGAAAAGTGAATTTATCATATTCATATATAAATAAAAATTATAGATGATTAACACTGTGCTCCATCATCAAAAACTGCCACAAATCTATTGTATTTTGCAGACATTAAATTTAAGGCCCTCTCTTGGCTTAAGTGCATTCTTAAAGTATACATTAGAAGTCAATGCAAACACTGGTGCTTTTGAAAATCCCTCCTTAAAAATGTACATTGAAATTAATCCGATTCACATGAATTTTTGTATCAAATATTTGTCAGCTACACTATTTGAGCCATTCTGACTACAAGAGGGCCAACAAGAGAGAATTTAGTCCAAAGGCAGTTGTTTAACTACCACTACGTCTCCTGAACCACACAGAATCAAATCCTCAAGTGTTGCTATCATATTGTAGAAATATTCCAACAAAGCATTCTATTTAACAACAATTCTTCTTATATACCTACAATAAGTGACAATCTTTCCTTTTGATTACTGGTAGGAGCATGTACTTTGGGGTGTTTTGCATACATTTGACAAGGTTATGGAAATGGGAGCTAGAACCTGAACACTTATGAAATTCTATCACAGACAGCAGTAAAGAATAATTTCATTTTGATGCAGGGAAAAGAAGAAGCTCTCCTGTTTCAGGAATACAGTCCAAATTCAGCAATATGCAACTGGAGTAAATGAGCCTCACATAAAGGAGTCTGAGTCAAATCAATAAGTTACATAATCTTGAAAGGAAGCTTAAAAGGGAGCAACTCATCCGGGGGGGGAGGGGGGAATAGACCTACTCTGCAGGTTCCTGAATAAGGGTGCTGAAGAACCCTCCATGTGAGTAAGATAACTGCCTGCTGAGTCCAGTTGGGGCTGAAGGTTTAGTGTTTTTTTTTTCTTTTAATGTCCTGTATAAGACTTGGAAATACTGGGGGAAGGCTTGGGCTCTCCTAACAGTCTATCCTTGTTGCAGAAGGAGCAAAAGCTTCATTTTCACCCCACTCACCCCCTTTTTCAGGTCATAGGGAACATCTATTCCCTATACAGTCTATAAAAGTGAAGGTAGGGATGTTGAGAATCCTGACATGAAGACAAGCCACATACAAGGGTTAGGAATGAGACTGAAAGCCTTTCCCCACTGGGAACCATCTGACTAGAAACCAGGCACATTAATTACTAGGCCACTTTGCCCTCTGAGAACTCTATTACAATGGCACACCAATGAACACAAGATTATTAGTTTTATAATGTCTATACCCTCTATCAGCAGAAGCCAACTTGTTCACAATACCTGCGCGTCCACTCTCCTGATAGTAGTTCTCCATGGATTTGCTCATTGAATGATGAATTACAAATCTCACATCCGGCTTATCAATTCCCATGCCAAATGCAACTGTTGCCACTACCACCTAAGGAGTATAACAGACCATCAGGATACAGATCTATAGTTTATTTAAGTCAAATAAGTCTATAGAAATAATTGTATAGCTAACCTGGATTTCATTGGCTGACCATCCCTTGTGAACTTTGGTCTTATCTTTGGGATCCAGATTTGCATGGTAAGCACCTGCCTTAATTCCCAATTTCTGCAAACTAATAGTAAGTTGCTCTGAGTCCTTCTGTGAAAAACAGTAGATAATTCCTGTACCAAAGAACAAAATTAAAACAAACACTTTTTATAGCAATGAAATATTAAAAAATGCAAGTGAATTTCATGTTTGTGCAAAGAGCAGGATTAATAAGCTTGAAGGTAACTTCTCTTACATGTCCAAAGAACCTGATAAAACATGGGGAGACAGTGCGCAAAACATCCCGACTACTGACTCACTAATATATTGGGCCCTGCAAAAGCTTCTCTCTAACGAAAAAAGAGCAGTTCTGTCCCTGCATCAATTCCCATCTTCGACTCAAGATATTGCTATCTATTTATAATAATAAACAACTTCACCACACAGCTCTTAAATTGCATTTATCAGTGTATAAAAGATGTTTTATAAATAAGGTACTGGTTGGACACCCCGGTCCAGCATGCTTGGGACCTGACCAGATGAAGGATTTTGCCAGACCAGAAAAGGTCATTTTGGATCCCTGCCACTGGCCTCCCTGGCCTGGCCACTGGCCTTCTGGCTGGCTCTCTACCTCCTTCTGGCCTCCCTGCCCTGCTGACCCTGCTAGGCAACCATGGCTCTGGGATCCACAGGACAGCTATGCGCACCACCCTGGAAGCTCTGGGACCTGCTGGGCAGCTGCGCGTGCTGCCCTGGAGCTCCGGGACCCATGGGACAGCTGCATGCTCCCTGCCCCACCGAGCTACAGCAGCTCCTAGTCCTTCTGGGCAGCCCCATGCCAGGTCAGCCAATGCTGCTGGGCAACCCCGTTGCCACATGCTGGATAGCTCTGCTGTCAGCTTTCTGCAGGCAGCCCACTGCCCTGCCAACTCCACAGGGATCCTTGCTGCTGGCCTTCCACTGGGACTCTCTGGCCCTGCAACATCCATGCCAGACCATGGATGTTGCTGGAACCAAAGAATCCCGGTTAATAGAGTTTCAACCTATAGATATTGTTAGCCCATTTCACAAAAATGGGGAAACTAAGGAGGAAATAAACTGCCCAATGTCACTCAACAGGCCAGTGAAGAGTTTCACAGCTAAATACAAAAACTGAACAAGCATAAGTATTTAGAACATGGGGCCATTCAAGGTGAGGATGCCTATTAACTCCTCTGTAGTCATAGGACAAAAAGGGGGGTTAGTGGGATACAAAAATTGCTGTACTGGCCATAAATCCAGTGTCTGTGTTCATGATTTTTAGCCCTGAGCAGGCTTCCTACTGAGGATGAGGACTGATCACCAAATATAGAGTGATTACACTGTGAAAAGTGTTCACCTACAGGTGATAAAAAGCACCCTACCATTTTACTGTGTGAATTCATTCAGGAGTATAGCAATTGTCTGGTTTAGTCCACAAAGTTGTTATTGGATCATTTAGTTCACTGGATGAGCTACACCACATATTGTAAGACTCATGTATCTTGAAAGGTATGTTGATCACGGCAGCAGCAAAGATAAGTCTGCTGATTTTGCACTGTTCTGGCAGGGTCTGGCACAGCTTTGAGACAGTGTGTCCAAGTTTCTAAGAGTTTACCTCTTGTGATGAGCTCAGAGAGGTTGATGAGCTATATGAAAGTGAAGAAGGGGTTCAGGATTCCCATCCTGAAAAATCTTTTGTGGACCTTCTCCTCTGGCCTTCATGCACTTAATAAAGATTCTGGATTTATTAAATATATATACCCTCCAATATCTTATTTTGTTCTATCAATATAAGCAGGGCTCAACAAATCACTGTTTCGACTAGCCCGTGACGAGTAGATTTCAGCCGATCGCCCCGTTCACCGGCGGCACATGCATGCGCAGTGCGGGGCTGGTGAGTAGATTTCACCGCCATTTGTCAAGCCCTGGATATAAGGGTGTTAATGGGCCATCTCACCTTTAATAATCCCTTAGAATATGTGTTTACAATCATTCTTGTATTTACCTGTGACATTCTTAGTATCTTTCCCAGACCTCAAGAAGAGTTCTGTTGACACTCAAAACCTTGTCTCTCACTAACAGAACTTGATCCACTAAGAAATATTCATTCACTTTGTGTTTCTATTTTCCAAAGTATTTTTGTTCTAACGGTGTTTTTCAACACCTCTAAAATTGTCATAAAACCATTAAAACAATTTCATGCTACTATTCAAGGGAAACTCAACATTTTATTATTAGATGTACTGGAAGAGTGCCCAAAGACCTAATCAGGATCAAGGCCCCACTATGTTAGGCACTCAATACATAGAAAGGTATAGGCCCTATTCCAAAGAGATGACAATTTAAACAGATAAGACAAATAGTAAGGGATGATACAACATTGGACAAATATAGCTTGATACTTTTATTTTGATTTTAAATTGAATGCTAATGGCAGGGAGTCTGATAATGATGGATAATTGATACATTTTGGGGATGCTTTGGAGCAGTTTTATAATACAGGAAATAGCTTAAGACGGCCTCTTACACAGGTTTCATGGGACTGTATACTAATTGTGAGAAAGCAGGGGGGATAAAATCAATTATTTTTTTAAAATAAAAAAATAGGATTTTTATTGAAATTGGATTTTTTTTAAATAATCAATAAAATACTAGATTTCTCATTTAAAAATAAGTTACAGTGAAATCTTATCACAAACATGCCCCACCTACAGTGTCATACAAATACATTATTGGCTCTAGTCTGTCCTGCCTAACAACCAGCTCTTGTCTTAAAAGTTCTGGGACTTCCAACTGATGCGCACACAGTCACGGGCTGGATAGGATTGTTTTCGTTCTGTGCTTATGTGGTGATGGCCCAGGGCCAAGCACGGCAAAGTTCGTTATGAAATTGTCTAAAGACAGAGACAACATATAGGAAAGAACAGAGGCAGCATAGAAAGGAACAGTAGACTGAAAAGGAAAAAAAAAAAAGATACTATTCAGCAAACACACAGATTCCTATATTCCCCTACACTTTTGCCACAAATCCTTTCTAGGAATATTTTGAAGATATTTATTTCCTGGATAAAAAAGGAAAACGTGTCAGTTGTAAGCAGTGCAAGATGATGCGGGGTATTGTTGCTAGAGTGTAACATCATAAGGAAAATTGCTTATTGGGAAAAAATTATATGGATGTGGATCAACTTTGGGAAAATTGCTTATTGGGAGAAAATTATATGGATGTGGATCAACTTTACCATGCATTATTCTTCAAGACTCTATGCCTTTTAGTATAAGTGAAATTTAACCAGTAAATCAGCAAGCTGTTTGTTACGTTGGATGTTGCTAGAAAAAAAGGTTAGCTTACCTAATTCTTATGGTTTGTTTAATTAATTAGCTAGGTTTAGAATCTAACACCCAAGTATACAGCACAGAAAGTTGAAGTAAGAGAAATCTAGAGTTGCCATTGAGTATCATTTTCTTATTTTATAGTACATAATACATGCCCCTTATTTTGGAACATCATGGGCACAGACCATAACAGTGATGCCATTTTACTTCAGTATAACTCGGCTCTCTCAAAGGAACCCCATCCTATACATGTTTACAATGGGACTTATTCCAAAATAAAGTGCACTCGTACAGTCAGTCTTACTAAAGAGCTAACTTGGAACCAAATCTGCATCAAAATGATAGTGGGAGTGGGGAAGATGAGAGCTAGTTGTAGAATTTTTAAGGACACCGTACATTTAGTGTTCTGAGGACTATTCTGTTAGAGTTAATAAAATGTGTAGAATGAAGCATCCAATTTATCCAAAGAAAGGAATAGAATGACTAGTAGTAATGCAAGCATCCCTACCAAGATTCAACTGAGCATCATACACAAACACAATAGCACTTTTAGTTTAATAAAACATATCTTAAATCTTATATAAACATTTCACACTTGTAATTGCAGCAGTCTCCTGAGTTGCTGGCTGGTGGCTGTCAAACTTTTTAAAAAAAATTTCAAATGTTATTAACTCTAACAGACAAGTGTTCAGAATACTACATGTGTGGTGATTTTAAAACTTATTTAGAAATTTTGTCACTGTTTTTAGCCCTTGAGAGGAGGAGGGCTCCCAAGTATCAAACAAGAACTTTTAGCCAGGTATTTTTTTTACTATTAACCTGATCCTGAACAAGTGAGGTGTCATTTATTATGTTGCAGTTTTTATTGTAGCTTTGCTTTTAATAAGTTAAACATTAATTTTTATCTTATTTACCAGAGAGTCCTTTGTATCTTCCATTGATGATCTTAACAATGTCCTCAATGAAGTCCTCACTGTTCGAAGGTTTTTGGCGAACCTGAAAAAGAGAGTACACAGACATCACATTTCTTTGTGTATATCACCATGCTTAAATGGCCATTCAGACAATTTGTTATATTCCTCTTACTGTACTCCTAATACAGTAATCTCATCTATTCTTCCCTTAAACTAATTTAAATTTGTTCTACAATTTACAGATCCCCAGAACTAAAAAGTTCATACAGATCTTTTCCAGAGAAGAATGTGAAAGAAATCACAGAAGCGCCCAACTTTCAGACATTTGCACTGGTTTCTAAACCAATATTGGCCGTAGCTGTCAGTGCTTGCCAGCTGTCATTCAACTGTGAACTTTCTAGTCTGCCAAACCCCACTCTCAGAATGTATGGAACACCTCAAGTTCTCCTAAAGGCTTTAGGGTACAAATTTTAACAAGAGGTCATAGTGAAGCACCAAGGCTCAACTCAGAAGCTAGTTCATTAAAATAGGAAAGGATAGTGTCCAATATTACTAATCACAAAAGCCTCGAGTTCATTACCAGTACTGCTACATAGGAAGTAGTAAGTGTGTGGCTTAAGTGTCCCAGTTTACAAGAGGCCCGTGAGGAAGGGGGCCAGATGGGATCCACCGGCCGCAGGTAGAGCCTGGTGGGCCGCACATTACCCACCACTGATCTAAGACATAAGCCAAACAAGATCAAGACAACAAATACTTGTATGACGGGGAAAAAATCATCTCATTTTTAAAGAAGATCTTTTAGTGTTCAGGTTTATTTCCTATCATACTCCTGATTTCTCTCCTGTTTTGTTGTGCTTTTGCCCCTCATTCTGCGCTTGTCATTTCCTTAGACAGAAATTCAGACTGAAAAAAAAAATCAAGAGAAATTCATCTGCCAGAGATTTATCCTGGAAAAATCCAGAGGGAATTTAACAAACATTTCCAGAAGCCCCAAAACAAATTTAGCCATTACTTGTCCTCAAAGTAACTATTGGAACACTATTTTCCAATGAATAAATCACCACCACAGAAAAAAATGGAGTAAGTAGAACATTCTCAAAGGCAGCCAGGACAATCAAGGCCTAGACTCTCAGGGTATGTCTACACAGCAACATTATTTCAAAATAACTTAATCCGTGTCTACACAGCAGGCAGTTACCTCAAAATACTGTCAAACTGGAGGACTTCTTACTCCAAATCCTGTAACCCTCACTGTACAAGAAGTAAGGGAAGTCAGAGGAAGAGTGCTCTATTTCAAAATACATGCTGTGTAGACGCTCCCAATTTCGAAATACGCTACACAATTGACATAACTTGAAATAAGCTACACAAATTGAGCTAAGCCCTGCTGTGTAGATGCACCCTCAATGAAAAGGTCATAACTGTCCTCATTCTGCCCTAGAACTAAGGAATGAAATTCTGATTCCAAAAGGCACAACAGCGATTGTTCAGCACCTAGCACAATGGCGTCAGTGTCCATAACAGAGGTTTATAGGCACTACTCCAATGCAAATAAAATAGAAAATAAAATAAACACATACCTCATAGTAAAGATTAGGCCGATTGAAAGATGCAGTAAAGGTAATGCATTTCTGAACACACAATATTTTCTGAGCATCCTTCAAAACATGATTTGTCGCAGTTGCAGTCAACCCAATCAAAGGAGCATTGGGAAATTGTCGTTTTAAGATACCAAGTGACTTGTAGTCTAAATACGAATAAGAGAACAAAAAGTTTCTATCTTAATCGGTACCATATTTTTGCAATCAAATTGGCAGCAAGAACAAGTAGCAACAGAATTAATTTACCAATACAGCAGGCAACGCCACAATGACAGAGCAGAGCGACTGGCCCCATAAGAGATTTATAAAAGCATCCTAAATTCAGAATGTACGTTTTATTAAAATGTATCCTTGTTAAGAGAATTAGAAAACAAAACTACCATTAAAAAACCTAAAACATTCAAAATTCATATTCTGATTGCTGTTGATTCCAACAATTGCTATCGTTAGCAGACAAAGATCATTACATGCATCTAAAAATGTATACTGTTAGATGTAAGCAAAACCTTCTTTAAGAAATGTAATAGAAAAATCCAGAAAAATTTAGTAGATGATACTATAGTCATCTGTACCCTGAACTGCAAGTTTTTTCATAGTCTGAGAAACAGTATTTGATAAAAACTAATTATATGCAGCGGACCAGACCTAAGACCAAAATGCAGCACCATTTTGTTCTTGTAAATTACACTAGAGGAGCCTAAAGTGCATCCCATGAAATTTCACAGGGTAGCTATCGCATTTTCACCTTCAATACAAGACACTAAGCACCATGAAGCGAGCTACACAGACCTGTATTTTCCATAGATAGTACATCCATATTAGAGTTGACAGCCATAATCTGTTCCACTTAATGCATAATTCAGTCTCCTAGAAAACTGGCAATGTAACACAGTTAAATGTCCCTGATTTAAATGGATGTGGGCCTTTAGAGATGACCATACATTATCTGTGAATGCTAATGAATGAAATTAAAAATCTGAGCCAGTGTACAAGTACTTTGTGTGTCATGTATTGTGCATACACTTAACTATCAAAAGGGAAACATTTTCTCTCGTTTCAGACCTAACTCATTTATTTATGCTTGAATAACTTTGCACACATATTTTTAGATGGGTGTACCAGGCCTGAAGTCATGTCCCCATTGACTGCAACAATGAACCTCGTCCACAGCAATACGAGTGAGTCTCCCAGCTTGATAAGCTTTCTCCAGTTTTGACATAAACATTTTGCTTTTCGCGATCTTCTCTGGCGTAACATAAATGAGCTTTAGCTGAGAATTCTTATCCAGCATTTCGGCGTGAACCCACTTTACATGTTCCTGTTAAAAAACAAAAAAGGAAACTGGAAATGGACAGACCTGAATATCATGCTCCTGTTCCTTAGTTCTAGAATCAATTGTGGCTCAATGCATAAAACACACTTCCACAACCAGCATAAGACTTTCCAGGTGATCTAATTATATCTACATAGATAATATATAAAGTGATGTTTCCAGAATAAATATTACAATTAAAGTCACAGATTTTAGAAAAAACAAACAAATGTACTCTGAATATTCATACTGTATTATTTAGTGTTTTTCTTTGCAAAAAATCAGATGTCAACCATATGCCTGTTATGATGTTGCTGTTTTTTTTTTTTTGGGGGGGGGGGAGGGGAGGAATCCCTGTGCAAACTAAATATTCCCAGTCTTTATTTTTGAATCCATATTTGAAATTTGCTAGATCACATCAAGCCCTTAATCCATTAAATCCAGTATCCTGCCTCAAAGTGGCCACAATCAGATTGTAGTCAGCAAAAAGCTACACGTCCACAAAACAACCCTCCAACATACTCCAAAGATGCAGCTGGCCAATTAAACAATGTCCTATCACTGAGGGGGGAAATCCTTTCTGCCCTTTGTAAGCAGTCATTTCATACATAAAATCAACTCTCTTGTTTCAGGGTATATGAGTCTGCATTACTAAACTGATATAGTAACCTCTAACTTTTAAATCCAAACATTTGAGAGGTATGGCCCAAAAAAAAGTCAGAAAATACCAAATACCTAAAATGTCTGGTATTTTGATATTTTTTCCCTGCCAGGAAGCAAAATTACCAGCTACCTAGCAACCCTAAGACACACTCAGCAAACGGGCTCAGCCCCTGGACTCCCCAGAACCCCCTCAAGCTCTTCCACACTCTCCCTTTTAGTGCTCAACCGCTCCCTTGTTCCTATCCCTATTCTAACTTTTCACTGACTCTCAAAGGCTGAAAGGGGCCATGCTGTTTCATTACTTTTTTTTTTTTGCTCAACAACTTTGGTCTCCCCCCGCTTTTTTTCCCCCTCAACAGAATTTTTTTCCCAGTGTTTTTTTTTGGGGGGAGGCGGGTGTTCGGTATTTTAGGTTAAACCATCTGGCAACTCTAGTTGGAACCCCAGGCAGCAGCAGAGGGGCCAGCAGCTATAACCTGAAGCTGGCAGCTAGTATTAGTAGTAGTAAGGAGCAGCAAAGGGCCTGGCAGCAGAGCCCTGAATGGGAGGCAATGGGGGGGCTCAAAGCCTGGGGGTGCTGCTATACAGCCTACACACCGACTTCCCTCTATGCAGACCCACTGGCACTCTACATTTACCTCCCTGGGTTGGGAAATTCTCTGATTTGGGATGGGTCAGGTCCTGAGAGTGACCGACTAAAGAGGTTTAACCTGTATATTCCATTTAGATTAACAATATTTTGTAAGGTCTGCAGGAAGATTTTGTCCCTTGGCTTATAAATGTTCATAACAATCATGCAAAACTGAGCTACTCAATCAGCATATCCATATAATGCTCATAAATAACATGAATAAAGGTAACAATGGCAGTCAAACATACCTTACTGCTTGAAGCATTTAATAAGGTTGCAGAAATTCCCAGTTGTTCTAAAACCATTAGTTGATCTTCCATAAGTGAAATCAAAGGACAGATCACAAGTGTGAAACCTGAAGCAAATAAATAAATTAATTAAATAAAATATTTAGCTCATTTAGCCCATTTTTCATTGGGGACTGAACTGAAACAAACCTCAACTACAATAAACGAAGCATCACATAAGAACTAATATCTAACCTAAGCAGGTCATGTTTACTCTAGCCATATAATATAAAGGGGACTAAACAATGCTAAGCAACATGTTGACCTTTTTTTGTAAAAATTAGCTTTTATAAAACAGAGCAAACGTATTGAGAAAAAAATTGTGTTTTTAAAATTTCTCACTTAATTAGCTAAAGTTGTTGTTAGGAACTGAGACAAAGAAATGTAGTTAGAACAAATGTTTGCAAGAGCTGTGCTTATATTTTTAAGTCAACAGCGTCCTTTTAAAGTGAAATAGAGAAATGAGCAGAAATATATTCCTAATTTTTTTGTCTCAAAATCATTCTTTCTTCCTGATATTTGTAGTTATGGTCCTTAGCATCAGACAATCTTATTTACAGTAAATGAATATAGCATTACATCTCTACAACTAACCATATAAAAAAGGAAAAACTGATTTGCTTGTACATGACTACTATTTTCATATACCTTCAGAACATGCTGCAGGTAACTGGTAGCACAGACTCTTTCCACCTCCAGTTGGCATGACAAGAAATATATCCTTTCCTGCCATTGTGGCATTTATTGTTTCAAGCTGTAGTGACCTAAACTTCTGGAGTTTAAAGCTATTACGAAGCACAGCTTTGATCTTCTCACGCCATGGAAATTCTGTTTAAAAAAAGAAGAAAGCACTAAAAATACATTTTATAAGCTAGTACATCTAAAACATAAAAAGAAATGCCAATTAAAATAGAGAAGCAATTTTTACTGAGGAATAGTGTGCATGAGTCTATGACTTGCATGAAAATACCTTGCAGACCCTTTGAAAGTATAAACACAATTAACAAATTTACCCAGCATTGGTCACATCGTTAATTCAAATAAGTTGTGTTTTTCTTTATTTAAATCATTGTCCTGGGGTGGGGATAGGGATGAAGAGTTCAATTTGTAGCCTGCTCTGAGGAGAGAGGACAACCCCAGCCCTATCTCAGGGCAGCTGCTTGGGACCAAGTGAGAAGCATTGTCCATGGCTGCTGTAGCTCCAGCAGACACAGCTGGGGGAGGATACATATCCCCCGGGGAGGAGAAGGACAGACAGATACAGACAAACAGACACACAAACAAGCTCTCTGAAATATAAAGTAGATAGCTATCCCTTTCTGCACTTAACATATCTCCACCTCCCAAAACATTTAACTTTTCATTATTAACTTCAAGTTCCCAAATTGTGATTCCATAACATACAAAGGTGAAAACTGACAATAATCAGTTAAAGGAGAATGCACAGCAAAGCCCACATCATCTTCAAGAATATCCGAGAAAGGAAATGCAAGCTTCACTTTCTTTAATTAAAATGCATAGCCAGCCAACCAACCAACCAAAACGAACAACAAAAACTTCTTACCAAAAAGAAATGATACAATAATGAAATTATCCCAATGAAAAAATCAAAAAGCAACTCCTCAAGAAACACAGCTGGGCCAAAATCCCATATTCTAACTTTCATTAGCTCATCAACATTGATCGTTCTTGGCACAGTCTTCACATTAAAATCTCATTACTTTTAAGTGAGTGGAAAGATTATATTAACAATAAATTAATTTGATTTTGTAAACCTTTTTTTTTCCATGCCTCTGATGAGGTTTCAGCTTCTTCACTTTCTTCAGCCTTTGAATCTTCTGATAATTGTTTTATTTTATTCTTTAATACAGTCTTCTTATGAACAAGCTCCTGTTGTCTTTCCAGAAGTTCTTGAATCTGGATCTCTACTGCCTGCAGCTCACTATCAGTGGAAACCAGCTCCTCCTTTAGCACTGAAGTTAGAAGGGGGATAGAGGGCAGGAGAAAGAATACAGCCTTTAAAAATGTATATTTTGCTAATTACAACTTTAAATCACATTAGATTTTTGCATCCAGTGGTTCACAGCAATCCAATCTACAAGCAACCAAGAATGTCTGGAAAAATGGAGCGAGTACTCTCATACCTATCTGACAGGACCGTTTCTGAGATCAAAACATGTAATATTTGTAAAGCACTCTGAAGGTGGAAAATGCCATCTAAATAAGGGATGTAAGTGACTAGGGACCTCTGCGCCTCTTACTACATGTAAAAGGTAGAGGCGCAGAGGAACATCCGACCACTGGGCCTCTGATTTTTAAATCTAGTAAAACTCTTACTACATTTAAAAAGCAGGAGGTGCAGCGGTTGGGGATCCAGCACAAGCCGGGACTGAAACAGTCCTGGCTCATGCCGGGTCCCCCAGGTGGTTCTTACTACATTTAAAAGGCAGAGGCACAGCAGTTCTGGAGCTGGTGAAAGCCAGGACTGAAGCAGTCCCAGCTCACACTGCCCTTAGAAGCTAACCCCACTGCAGTTTTGAGTTTTAATGTAAGCACAAACCAGGCTGCCTGGCTCTTACTACATTTAAAAGGCAGAGCTGCAGCAGATGACCCAGTGCAAGCCACTGCTGTGCCTCTGCTTTTTAGATGTAGTAAGAGCCCAGCTCCTACTACATTTACACTGTAGATGCCACAGTGGGGATAGCAAGCATCCTCCTCCCCTATTGACTAACTGAGTAGTCGATTAACTAATTAAATGCTACTTAACATCCCTAATATAAATATATTAATAAATCACAACTTCTATTGTGATTTATTACAGCTTAGAAGTCTGCAACACTGTCATGATAGGAGATTACTTTAGTGCAGTGTTTCCCAATTTTATTTGGCCATGGAACCCTTTTAAACTTGGAAGAATTTCAAGGAACCCCTTGGGAAAATTTGTCGAGCGCAAAAAAAAAAAAAAGAGCCACCGGACCTGAGCGCCCACACCACACACGGCCCCCTCGCCCCCCAGAAGACAGTATATGGAGCTGAAAAAGTAGACCGCAAATAAGTAAAGATAATAATAGTGAACAAATGCTAAATAAGGTCATGAGATCAATATTTAGTTTAATTGCTCATATTTAAAAACAAAAATCACATTTAATGTGTACCAAAAAATAAAGCTCAAAAACGAATGTGAATTATAATGGCAGTTTTCGTCTTTTCTTGGCAAATTCTTTTTATATTTTGTTTAATATTAAAAAGTTGGATTTGCATATCTGGCGCAGCATTCAGTCGATTTCTGTATTTTGTTGCTGCATAATTCGAGAACCCAGTTTCACATAAGTATGTGCTGGTGAAGGTTAACAACTGACAAATTGCACGTCTTGATAAAGCTGAATATTCTTGACATAAGCCGCCCAAAAACGTAATCAGAGAAACTTCTTTAAATTTTTGTATTAATTGGCCATCTGAAGTGATTTTGATTAGGTTTTCATAATCTTTCATAGAAAAACTGACTGGCTTTCCCTGTTATACTTAATGGATTTCAAATCCAGTTAGTGTCATTTATGGTTGGAAAATACTTCATGTTTGTGTATAAATCAGAAAGATGATCTGCAATGTCCAGGCCAGGAAGAAGATCACAGAAGAAAGCCTGGGGCAGAGTTGTCTGGCCAGGAGGGAGAATACAGAAGGATTTTGGGGCAGGTTGTCTGGCTAGAAGTGAGGGTACAAGAGGAGTCTTGGGGCAAGGTGCCTGGCCAAAAGGGAGGGTACAAGAGGGGACTTGGGTCAGGGTGTCAGAGCAAGCCCCCGCCGCCTGGGCGGCTTTGCTCCTGTCCCCCTGGTCTGCCGGGGGGGGTCCAGTGGCTTTGCTGGACCCCCCCAGCAGACTAGGGAGACCGAGAGAAGCTTTTCTCGCCCCGGAGGACACGGGCGGCGACCCGCCGCCCGTGAGCTCCAGGGCGAGAAAAGCCCCGTTCGTAAGTGCGGATCCGACATAAGTCGGATCCGCGTAAGTCGGGGACTGCCTGCAATATGAATTATATTGGCAGTTTTCAATGTGAAGAGTGTTTTTTCTTCTTTCCTTGGCAAATTCTTTTAATATTTTGTTTAATACTAAAAAGTTGGATTTGCATATCTGGCACTGCATTAAGTTGATTTCTGTATTTTGTTGTGGCATAATTTGAGAACCCAGTTTCATACAAGTATGTGCTGGTGAAGGTTAACAACTGATAAACTGCACGTCTTGATAAGGCTGAATATTCTTGACATAAGCTGCCCCAAAACGTAATCAGAGAAACTTCTTTCAAGTTTTGTATTAATTGGCCATCTGAAGTGATTTCAATTAGGTTTTCATAATCTTGCATAGAAAAACTGACTGGCTTTCCTGTTATACTTAATGGATTTCAAATCCAGTTATTGTTGTCATTTATGATTGGAAAATACTTCATGTTGTTTGTGTATAAATCGCAAAGATGATCTGCAATGTCCTGGCCAGGAGGGAGGGTACAGGAGGGAGTCTTGGAACATGGTGTCAGGCAAGGAGGGAGGGTATAAGAGGGGACTTGGGGCAGGGTGTCAGAGCAAGCTGGGAATGCGGGCTCTTGGTGGGGAGGAAGGAGAGTGAGGGGGATATGGGTGCAGGGTCTGGGCATGAGGGGGGACATTTACCTGGCCTGGCACCCTGCTGCAGCAGGGAAAGCCTCCAGGAAGCATGCTCCTGTTCCTGGAAAGGGGGGCGGGGGGAGGCCGTAGAAGCCCCGACCTTCCCCGCCAGATCAAACTCTGCCACTTCCCCAGTAAGCTGGGTAAGGACGCAGGGGAGAGCAGCAGCAAATGGGGGGCAGCAGAGCCCGAGCACACCCTGAGGGGGGCCGGCAGCAAAGCCCGAGCCGGGTTCCACGCAGGCAGCAAGTAAAAAACTGACGAGGTCCAAGAGTGACTCCTCCGCTCTGGCCACTCCTCCCCCTCCCAGCAGCAGCAGCCGCCGCCACTGTAAACGCTAATGCTTGTACACGAGAAGGAAGAAGCTGCAAGGCACCGGGACAGGGCAGTCCTGAAGGGTGAGGAGGGGCCACGCCATGCATGGGGGTGAGGCAGCTGCAGTGGGTGGTGGACCGACCAAAGCCACGCACCCTCAGAAGCCCGTCCTCGCTGGCAAAGCCCCAATGGGAGCTGCCTATGGGTTCTTCAGGGGGGAGGGGAGCAGAATTTTTTTTGGAAACCATTTAGGAAACACTGCCGTAGTGGTTATAAGGGAGAAAAAAATCATAGTGTAACTTCCAAGAGACTATATCCACTTTGGCACAGGAACAGACTGTTTCATAGATTTTAAGGACAGAAATGATCCGTGAGATATAATATCTCAACTTGTGACTCTATAATCAAATTTGGCCATGACCACTTTTAGTACAAAGGGACACATGTTATTGTCATGAAAGTAGCATTACTATTAACATGCTACTTTGAAATATTTCTAGCTGGCTCTAAATTGGGTGCATAAGCTCTGTCCAGCTGCTCGGTGAAAAGTTTTCTTATCAGGAACAACATTAAATTCTGACAGAGGAGAGTGAATTGAGGATGGATGCAAGGGAAGACAAGGAACATACTAAACGATACAGACCACACTTACAATTCTAGAAGCAGAAGATCTGCAGAGCATGAATTTTGTGTATATTTGTGAGCACAGTTTTAGGTGTACAGCTAAGATACATATTTGCTTTCACTGTGCACTAGTGTGAATTGAAGTCAAGTGTTTCAGTATTTGGCTTCATGCTATTTGCCATTTAATGCATTATTTAGTTGAATGTACCAATGTTTCTAAAACAATTTACAGTCCCATCAGATAAAACCACCTCGACATATTTTTTTCACAAATTTTATGCTTCGATCCAAACAAGCAACAGTGATAGTTCTCATACACTGCAGCTAAAGTAAGTCTGTGTGCCAAAAATCAGTGTTAACGTTTTGCTGGAAACAGAACAAAACATGGAAGTTTTCCTTCCAAAATAATCAAACAAACAATTCCATATAACAGACTAGAGGCCTGTGAAAGATGCCTTTGAAAAAACCCAAAACCACTTTGAGATAGTTAGAAAGCTTTTACAAACTTGTGCACGTACAGCTACAAAAATGAAAAAATGTTCATAATATGGAGGAAAACATAATATAAAAACTTATAGCAATTAAAACCATTTTCAACCTGAAGCAAACACACATAGTTGAAGTAACAAAAAATGAAAATAAGTTTTATAGAACCAGCTAAACAAGGACCATCGTAGTTTTGGATTACCTGAAATGGTTGTCATCATCAAAGTTGAAAGGACTCGTCCCTTATTAATAAATGTTGCTTATGGAAACAATTCTCTCTAAAAACAGAAAATGTTTTATTAAAAATGTTTATAAATACATTACAATGTAGGGATGTTACATTTTGATTAATTAGCTAATCAAGTAGTTAGCTGATAAGGGGAGGCAGTCACTATCCAGTTGCACATTGCCCTTTAAAATTTACAAGAGCCTCCTGCAGCTTTGTATATTTCAATGGGAGAGAGGTAGTGGGCTCATTGCCTGCAACTCTTGTGTATTTCAAAGGGAGAGATGCAGCAAAGCAGTCCCAGATTATAAATCAATGGTCAGTTGTAAACTTGAAAAAAAAACCCAGTTATGTTTTGCTCAGAGTTAGGACCATTTCAGAGTTACAAGCAACCTCCAGAGGTTCCTTTGTACTTGAAAGTAAGACAATTTAAGTATCAGTAACAAGGGTATGGTAAGTGTAGCAATATCATCACCTTAAGAGATTTAATGATCATTTCCAAGGATAAAGAGTATTTTTAAAAGAGAAGTAAAGTGTTAAAAGTGTATGTTCCACCCTGAAGAGAAAGGCAGCAGAACATCTCAAATGGGCTAAATACAGGCAGATGAATCAGCTAAGTGCAGGATGTTTACATGGAAAACGTGCATTGGCAAACTGTACCAGAGTGCCCATGTAGTGATTCATTGGAGAAATTATTTAGGAGATGGCTACACCCAACAGCAGATGGAGCATAGATAAGAGAAGCCACAAAAAGGGAAGGTGAGGACTAGGTGGGCAATTCCTATACAACGCAACAGGGAACTTACTTGAAGCTGGAGGTAGTGAACCCTTATTTAGCAATGAAGTGGTGGGATGGTTTTGCAATGTGGACATTGACACCATTTTAAAGTCCACCACCCAAAATGGGGCACCCATGCGGGGGGGGGGGAAGATGGGGATGGGACCAATAATTGCTCAGCACTAGCAGCCACCCACCAATCAGCTCTTCTCCCTCCACTGTACCTCTTGCCTGTCACAGATCTGCTGTTTGGCAGTGGTCAAGAACCACTACAGGGAGGGGCTGAAGTGGGAGGGGAGCATCCGAGGGTGGAGTAGGGCAGGAAGAGGCAGAGTGGAGGCCTGTGGGCTGAACTGGGGTGGAGGCACCCCTGGGGAAAGCTGAAAGTGAGGACCTGCCTAACGCAGGTCAAATTAGATCGGCACCCTGATTCCTTCTGGGCCTGAAGCTAGGCGTGAGGGGGCACAGAAAGGAATTTCCGCACCTCCTGCTTTGATCAGTCGCAAAATAGCTTTTATCCCCCCCCATCAGATACCTCTCCCTCTTCTTGCCCTGCTCGCACGATACCCCTCCCCTACCAATACCCCTGCCCCTCCTTCTGCCCCCTCCCCATGCGATACCGATACCCGTCTCTCCCCTCCCAATACCCCTCCTGCCCCCTCTCCTACCCCTCCCCGCGCAATTCCCCTACCCCTCCTCTCTGCCCCTCCCTTTCCCCTACACTCCCCTCCCCTCGCGATACTGATACCCCTGCCCCTCCCTCTGCCCCCTCCCCATGCGATACCGATACCCGTCTCTCCCCTCCCAATACCCCTCCTGCCCCCTCTCCTACCCCTCCCCGCGCAATTCCCCTACCCCTCCTCTCTGCCCCTCCCTTTCCCCTACACTCCCCTCCCCTCGCGATACTGATACCCCTGCCCCTCCCTCTGCCCCCTCCCCATGCGATACCGATACCCGTCTCTCCCCTCCCAATACCCCTCCTGCCCCCTCTCCTACCCCTCCCCGCGCAATTCCCCTACCCCTCCTCTCTGCCCCTCCCTTTCCCCTACACTCCCCTCCCCTCGCGATACTGATACCCCTGCCCCTCCCTCTGCCCCCTCCCCATGCGATACCGATACCCGTCTCTCCCCTCCCAATACCCCTCCTGCCCCCTCTCCTACCCCTCCCCGCGCAATTCCCCTACCCCTCCTCTCTGCCCCTCCCTTTCCCCTACACTCCCCTCCCCTCGCGATACTGATACCCCTGCCCCTCCCTCTGCCCCCTCCCCATGCGATACCGATACCCGTCTCTCCCCTCCCAATACCCCTCCTGCCCCCTCTCCTACCCCTCCCCGCGCAATTCCCCTACCCCTCCTCTCTGCCCCTCCCTTTCCCCTACACTCCCCTCCCCTCGCGATACTGATACCCCTGCCCCTCCCTCTGCCCCCTCCCCATGCGATACCGATACCCGTCTCTCCCCTCCCAATACCCCTCCTGCCCCCTCTCCTACCCCTCCCCGCGCAATTCCCCTACCCCTCCTCTCTGCCCCTCCCTTTCCCCTACACTCCCCTCCCCTCGCGATACTGATACCCCTGCCCCTCCCTCTGCCCCCTCCCCATGCGATACCGATACCCGTCTCTCCCCTCCCAATACCCCTCCTGCCCCCTCTCCTACCCCTCCCCGCGCAATTCCCCTACCCCTCCTCTCTGCCCCTCCCTTTCCCCTACACTCCCCTCCCCTCGCGATACTGATACCCCTGCCCCTCCCTCTGCCCCCTCCCCATGCGATACCGATACCCGTCTCTCCCCTCCCAATACCCCTCCTGCCCCCTCTCCTACCCCTCCCCGCGCAATTCCCCTACCCCTCCTCTCTGCCCCTCCCTTTCCCCTACACTCCCCTCCCCTCGCGATACTGATACCCCTGCCCCTCCCTCTGCCCCCTCCCCATGCGATACCGATACCCGTCTCTCCCCTCCCAATACCCCTCCTGCCCCCTCTCCTACCCCTCCCCGCGCAATTCCCCTACCCCTCCTCTCTGCCCCTCCCTTTCCCCTACACTCCCCTCCCCTCGCGATACTGATACCCCTGCCCCTCCCTCTGCCCCCTCCCCATGCGATACCGATACCCGTCTCTCCCCTCCCAATACCCCTCCTGCCCCCTCTCCTACCCCTCCCCGCGCAATTCCCCTACCCCTCCTCTCTGCCCCTCCCTTTCCCCTACACTCCCCTCCCCTCGCGATACTGATACCCCTGCCCCTCCCTCTGCCCCCTCCCCATGCGATACCGATACCCGTCTCTCCCCTCCCAATACCCCTCCTGCCCCCTCTCCTACCCCTCCCCGCGCAATTCCCCTACCCCTCCTCTCTGCCCCTCCCTTTCCCCTACACTCCCCTCCCCTCGCGATACTGATACCCCTGCCCCTCCCTCTGCCCCCTCCCCATGCGATACCGATACCCCTGTCTCTCCCCTCCCAATACCCCTCCTGCCCCCTCTCCTACCCCTCCCCGCGCTCCCAAGTCGAGTCTTAATTTTAAAAATGTCAAGTCACTTTTGTACAAGCCATCAATATCGGCATTTTTGGACAATTTTTTCACCAAGTCGATTTAACAAAATTAGCAAGTCTCAAGCCGAGTCTCAAGTCACAAACAATGAACCCAAGTCAAGTCTCAAATCAAGTCACCTAGGCGACTTAAGTCGGACTCGAGTTCAAGTTGTGGGACTCGAGTCAACAACTCTGCTATTTTCAATTCACTTTGGCACTCACCTTATTATAGCTCCATCTAGGTTAAATCAGTATAAAAAACTTTGCTGAAGTCAAGATACCATGTCAACCCTATTTCGAAAAAAGAAACGCAGTCTAGGCGCGGTTATTTTGAAAGAAACCCTTCTTTTGAAATTACCCTTAAACCTAATTTTATAAGGAGTAAGGGTCATTTCAAAAGAAGGGTTTTCTTTTGAAATAACCACATCTAGACGGTGTTTCTTTTTTCGAAATAGGGTATTTTGAAATAGCGCCCGGACGCGATTATGCAAATGAAGCATGGGAAATTCAAATTCGCGCTTCATTTGCAATTTCGTTCATCTGTATTTGCATTCCTCTCTTGAAAGAGGAATGCAATGTAGGCATGCCCTATGTTAAGTGTCCAATCACCACCAACTTTGTTGGTGAAACCAAAACAAAAAATTCATTAAGGACCTCTGCCATTTCCACATTTTCTGTTACTGTTTCCTGCCCCCCTCATTAAATGGGCCTACCCCAGGGGCGAGCAATAATTTTTGGCTAGGGGCCCCTTCAGGCCCCGGGGCTGCCCCAAAAAGGGCAGGATTTAATCCGGAAGGGATGAGTCATAATCCAGAAGGGGCAAGGCCAGGATGCTTCTGGGCTTCTCCACCTCCAAACCATAATTGGTCTGGGGGTGAGGGAGCCTTTTTGTCCCCTTTTCCCACTAGACACCCATGCAGGAGAGGAATAACTCTTGTGCGAAAACAAGAAGCCTGCAGTGTAGACATAGCCTAAGAGCTCTCTCTTAAGTGTTAACATTGCTCCTTCCCTGAGACTTTCACTCTCCTCAAGAGCACAAAGGCTGTGTGACCAGGGATGAGACTGTTCTACTGTGTTCTGGAAAATCTCATCTCTGTATCTGTCTTGGCTTCCTTAGCTCCCCCAGTTCACCCATCATGGTCTCCAAAGTCCATACAAGGTCCCTGAGGGCCAGGCGCTCCTTGCACCTGCGTATACCACAGGTAATCATACACCCTACAATCAGTACTTTTTAAAAAGCAAGCTGTTTTTTCGAAAGAGAGCACTCAGGCAGTCTGGATGCTCTCTTTTGAAAACGCACAGTTTGCATTACATAGTGTCTTTTTTCGAAAGAGCACTTTCGAAAAAAGGCGTTATTCCTTGTGAAATGAAGAGTACTGTTGAAAGAAAAGCTGCATTATTTCAATTAAATTTTGAAAGAACACAGCTGTAGTCTAGACACAGGTGAAGTTTTTTTGAAAAAAGGCTTTTTTCGAAAAAACCCTGCATTTTTGGGGGGTTTGGGCTTCTTCCTACATTCTCTTTTCATTCCTACAGATTGTTCTTTTTTAAGTTTTTTTTTAAATAGGGTTTGTTTTTATTTTAAAGAATTTTAAAGACTAAGTATTCAGCCTATCTACACTACACAGAAGAACTCAGGAGACTGTTGCAATTATAAATGTCGATTTTTGACATTTAAAATTTAGTTTCATAAAATGTAAATGCTATTGTGTTTGTGTGTGTGATGTAGTTCTTATAATTCCTAATGTGCTGCTGCTGCATCTGCAAATTGAAATAGACAATGAGAATTATGTACTATTTCCAAACTTATCTTTCCAAGTTATCTCAAAAAATCACAAAGTACAGGTTGAACCACTGGTCCAGGACTCTTGGGCTATGTCTACACTGCAGGGGTTTTGCGGGATACCAGAGGTATCCCGGAAAAACCCCGCCACATCCAGAGACTGCATTTGTTCTTCCGCTTTTTTTCTGTGAAGAGCAAACATGCTCTTTTGGGGAGCCTTCTATTCCTCGTTTCCGCCAAATGGCAGAAAAGCCTCTTCTGGAAAAACAATCGGAAAAAGCTACGCAAATTATGGAGCGCAATTTGCGTAGCTTTTTCCAATAAAACACGATAGTGTAGACATAGCCTTGGATGATGCTGGGCTAGAAAGCTTAAGCACAGAGGTTGTCGGCAGCTGAGAGCAGAGCCAGTAAAGCAGCAGTCTTAAACTAAATTTACCTTAGGGCTAGGAGGTGCAAATGGCTATGTAAACACCAGCTAAACTGTCAGCATGTAACTGTTAAAAATCCTACCAGTTACACAATTACACACACTGCAGATTGCGCAGCTTTACACTGCAGAGCCCGCAGCAAGTCTGGAGCAGGGTCAGGAGCTGCAAGCTAGTGCATACTGGGAGCGCCCTATAAGTGTGCAGTGGCTCCTAACTGTGGGCGCCACTCCTGATGCTGAATGCACTGTGGGCTCTGCAGTAGGAGCTTTCTGCTACAGAGTACGTAGTGCAGGATCTAGCTCACAAAGCTCAGGGTCCCCTGCCCCCTGCAGCAGGACAAGACCTGCTAGTGCTCCAGCCATGTGGGGAAGAGGGGGCAACAGGCCTTAGAGCCCCTCTCCCACATGACTAGAACCAAGTTGCCCTGTTGCAGGGTGCGGGAGAGAGTCCAGAGCATCCCTGCTTGCAAGCAGTCAGTTCGCCATCCCTGCCTCAGTACTTTTGAAAAAGCAAGCTGCTTTTTCGAAAGAGAGCACTCAGGCAGTCTGGATGCTCTCTTTTGAAAAAGCACAGTTTGCATTACATAGCGTCTTTTTTCTAAAGAGCACTTTCGAAAAAAGGCGTTATTCCTTGTGAAATGAGGAGTACCATCGTTGAAAGAAAAGCTGCATTATTTCAATTAAATTTTGAAAGAACACAGCTGTAGTCTAGACACAGGTGAAGTTTTTTTGAAAAAAGGCTTTTTTCGAAAAAACCCTGCATTTTTGGGGGGTTTGGGCTTCTTCCTACATTCTCTTTTCATTCCTACAGATTGTTCTTTTTTAAGTTTTTTTTTAAATAGGGTTTGTTTTTATTTTAAAGAATTTTAAAGACTAAGTACAGTATTCAGCCTATCTACACTACACAGAAGAACTCAGGAGACTGCTGCAATTATAAATGTCGATTTTTGACATTTAAAATTTAGTTTCATAAAATGTAAATGCTATTGTGTTTGTGTGTGTGATGCAGTTCTTATAATTCCTAATGCGCTGCTGCTGCATCTGCAACTTGAAATAGACAATGAGAATTATGTAATATTTCCAAACTTATCTTTCCAAGTTATCTCAAAAAATCACAAAGTACAGGTTGAACCACTGGTCCAGGACTCTTGGGCTATGTCTACACTGCAGGGGTTTTGCGGGATACCAGAGGTATCCCGGAAAAACCCCGCCACATCCAGAGACTGCATTTGTTCTTCCGCTTTTTTTCTGTGAAGAGCAAACATGCTCTTTTGGGGAGCCTTCTATTCCTCGTTTCCGCCAAATGGCAGAAAAGCCTCTTCTGGAAAAACAATCGGAAAAAGCTACGCAAATTATGGAGCGCAATTTGCATAGCTTTTTCCAATAAAACTCGATAGTGTAGACATAGCCTCGGATGATGCTGGGCTAGAATGCTTAAGCTCAGAGGTTGCCGGCAGCTGGGAGCAGAGCCAGTAAAGCAGCAGTCTTAAACTAAATTTACCTTAGGGCTAGGAGGTGCAAATGGCTATGTAAACACCAGCTAAACTGTCAGCATGTAACTGTTAAAAATCCTACCAGTTACACAATTACACACACTGCAGATTGCGCAGCTTTACACTGCAGAGCCCGCAGCAAGTCTGGAGCAGGGTCAGGAGCTGCAAGCTAGTGCATACTGGGAGCGCCCTATAAGTGTGCAGTGGCTCCTAACTGTGGGCGCCACTCCTGATGCTGAATGCACTGTGGGCTCTGCAGTAGGAGCTTTCTGCTACAGAGTACGTAGTGCAGGATCTAGCTCACAAAGCTCAGGGTCCCCTGCCCCCTGCGGCAGGACAAGACCTGCTAGTGCTCCAGCCATGTTGGGAAGAGGGGGCAACAGGCCTTAGAGCCCCTCTCCCACATGACTAGAACCAAGTTGCCCTGTTGCAGGGTGCGGGAGAGAGTCCAGAGCATCCCTGCTTGCAAGCAGTCAGTTCGCCATCCCTGCCTTACAGGGACCTCATAATACAATTAGGCAGCTTCAGTATTTTGGATACCATAGAGGATTTTTTCCTAGAATTGTCCTGATAATTAGTGATCTGGGTGCGGGTAGGTGAGGGGTCATTAGAATCTGGAGCTGGGCTTTTCCCTGCTTTCTGTGTCCTAGAGTTCAGTGTGGATCTTGTGTTGGACTTTCTGTTCTCCATTCTGTATACAAATGGGCTGCGTCTAGACTGGCATGATTTTGCAGAAATACTTTTAACGGAAAAGTATTCTTGCGCAAGAGGGCTTATCCCTGAGCGGGAGCGTCAAAGTATTTGCGCAAGAAGCACTGAATTCTTACATTAGAACGTCAGTGCTCCTGCGCAAATTCAAGCGGCCAGTGTAGACAGCCAGTCTAGACGTACCCATGGAATGATGCTCATGAGGCATAGGGAGCTTTCGGGGAGGGGCGGGGATTAGGTGTGTCTTCCCTGCTGTCTGCTGATCCGCTTTGCTTCAAGTAGAGACTGGGAGGGTTTTTCATTTGTCTGCATGGATGGATACTCTACCCTCAAGACTGCAGTGCTATAACAATAAAAGATAGCAAGTACTGGAAGAGAATCTTTGCTATAACAATAAAAGATAGTAAGTGCTGGAAGAGAAACTCAGAAAGAATTACTAAAATCAGTAACTACCGTTTACTTACGTGTTTTTGAGCATTTGCTATTATTAAAACAAAACTAAATCGTACAATGACCTGCATCGCCCTGAGTAACAAAAGGAATAGAAATAACATTTTGCAGCAGAGCAAAGCTGTAATTAAAACGGCTTACAGTGTGTGGGGGGCGGGGAGTGGAAGGGGGAATTCAGTGATTCCCGGGCAGCAGATAAAGACAAACGTGTGAAATGTTATGAGACTTCTCGTCTTCTCTTTAGCCCCCTTTTCCCATTTTTAACCCCCCGTAAAATAGTCAGCATACATCCATATAGCGGACAGGGCTACTGATCAGGATTTGTGATAGAGATGCAGCCCTGTAGTCTGGTGTAGCTGAAACAAAAGACAGGACTATGTAGCACTTTAAAGACTAACAAGATGGTTTATTAGGTGATGAGCTTTCATGGGCCAGACCAATTTCTTCAGATCAATATGTGGAAGAAAATCGGCACAACCATATATACCAAAGTGATACAATCAAAAAAAAAATGACCGCTTGTGAAACACCATATATACCAAAGTGATACAATCAAAAAAAAAATGACCACTTGTGAAACTGACAAATCAAATTTTAGAACAGAGTAGGGGTGAGAGGGGAAGGTTAGCTGCTGTGAGCACAGAGTGGGGGTGAGAGGGGAAGGTTAGTTGCTGTGAGGTAGTGACATAGGGGTGATCAGTGGGGAAGCAAAGTGCTACATCGGTCTGTCTTTTGTTTGAGCAGGATTTGGTTTCAGCAGGTGAAACAGCCCCTCTGCCAGGGCCGCCCTGTGACTGGCGCCTCCTTGCCACTGGGGGCGGGGCTGTGTCTACCCCTTCCCCCCTGCCTGCGCTGGAGCTTTGCCTCTGCCTTGCTCCCGCAGCGGCGTTTCCCTGCCGCTCCTGCCCCCGCCAGCCTGGATTGGAACCCCGTC